AGACTTCGTGAAACTTCACAAGAGTTCAAGAGACTTCAAGACTTCGTGAGACTTCATGCATGAAGTCTCTGTTGTATACCCCTTGCTGCACACCTTACATAAATGTTAGATTGTAGTTTTTAACATCAGTTTATTGTCGCATGATTATTCGAGCAATCATTGAAACGCCTACACACAAGCAAGCCAGTAACGCACAGTTTATGTCTGTCAGACTCTTTATAAAAAAGATAAGAAAAAAAGGAGAATTTGCTTCGTTTTTCGTCATAGAAATCCAATGACGAGATAGCAGATAACGTCATGATTTGAATAGATGTTGGAAAGAAACCAGAACAAAAGTCACATGTATAAAAAAACTATAAAATTTCAATAAACAGCATGGTTATTGTTAGTCACAGAATTAATTTGTAAAAGCATACCAATATTTCACTGAACCTAGCGTTTTAACTGTTCAAGACAAGGTAAATACTATTGTTGAAAGTAATATCGATACTTGTATAACACCTTAGAAAAGTTTATCAGATAGTATCATCTTTGCCTTATATAATTTTTCAAATTTTATTTTATTTTATTTTATTTTATCAGATTTTTTTCTTTTCTATCGCTTAATTCTAGTAGTCGTAATAATTTATTAATTAAAATTCGAGCTTTCTTTTATTCATATATACTAAGTATTATTCATGGAAGCAACCAGATTTCCTGATTTTTCCTTCAGCCATAGTGACGTTTTAGACAGTATTCATATTATAGGTCGAAAATTTTATTGACACGATGCTTCACTAGAAAATTCAAATTGGAAACCATCAGTTATAGTATATTCGATCGATGAATGACAGCATAAGTGTGGATGGATCGGAATGACAAATTTAGTTGACAACAAGTATAGAGAGCCCCTATTTCGATTCGAATCTGACAGTCTTCTAAGATTAAAAAAAACTCGTTCGTTCAGGCATGTAAGGATATCGAATCATAGGATCGGAAGACAATACGGTTTATTACGAATAGTCATCGATCATTTATCGGATTAAAAGATATGAGTGCAAATTTATGTCATACTTGACATTTTGTTCACTTTCATTTTATAAGACAGAATTATGATTGTAAAATATGTTATTTCCGACTGCAATATAAAGTGTTTTCGTTTAGTGTAGTAATGGCCAGAAAGCATCTTTCAAGGCTATTCAATGTTCTCCAACAACGTACTTCTTTGGTGTGGAATAGTAGTACTTTCCGCAAAAATTTTTTTACGGGCTTATCTGTGGGTTTATCTGGATTTAATATGGATAGGATCTTTAGAAATATTTGTTATATAGCTGTAGCTGGATTCGGTTTATTGGCTGTAGTTTATGTTTTTAAAATAGCAGCTAACATGTATGTTGAATTTTTCAAGATATCTCCGTCCAAGGTCATCATTTTTCTGGCGGGAATTACAGTTGTCGGTACATTCGGGCTAATCCTACGCTTTTCAAATGTATGCAAACTATTCATGTAAAACATGTACAATGAAAAAATCAACGTTTCCATGACTATCATCGATTTCAGCTATAAGTAATTGAGAAAAATTAGGAATTTTCATTTTTTTTAATTAATTTTGTGTTTTTAATTACTTTTTTAAAATTTGATTGTAAACCAATAGGTTTTTACTGTTTACCATCGATGTTGTTTTTTAAAATCGGATAAAATCCATTAAATACCATCAGAATCGCCTATCTACGATTTTTCATTAATGAATTAAAACTCACTTTCCAAAATAGTCAATTTTCATCATTAGTTGATGATGTTTTTCTCGGTAAAATCAATTAATACTCAATTCAATCGGCAGGAACCGATGTACTATTCTAATTGATTATAATTATATATGTATATATAAGAATCATCCATAATATAATGATGTTGGTTACAATATATATTGTTGATTATATCGATATGGATGGGGGTGGGTGGGTGTCGGTGTGGGTGAAGATAAAGTAGATGCAACCACACCCACCCTTTATTGCAACGAAAACATCCACAAATATTGATTGTATTATCCTATTTTATATTTCTATCAACTATTTCATAGATTTCTCAAATAAGAATACAAAAGAAAAATATCAATTTTAATAGAATGTTAATTTTGAAGTGAAAATATTGAACATAGAAATTGTAGGAACGAATGAAATTACATTAGACATGACATCTTAATAACTTATATTTAAATTAGATTCATTTACTATTAATAATTCCATTCTTGACGGTACGCTTTCATTCATCTGTGAACGAATTTCACTATGTTCAAAAAAAGGTCACAGTACTCATCGTCGGACTATTTAGTATAATCTTTGCTGACGACGTCAGATATGAAATAGAATGAATATACATATATGTTATAGGCAAAATTGACATTCTAATTTTGCCTAGCCAAATTAGAATATTCCAGTTCTGCCTGGGCATATTCGGAATTTGACTGAATTCTAATTTTGCCTATAACATACATATATATATATAAACGATTGTATTCAACATATTTGTCATTGACAATTCAACATGAGCAATTCAACTCTTAATATCGTTGATCTATGCGACGAACTGTTGCTTAACATTTTAAACAAACTTAATAATGTGGATGTATTATATTCACTCATAGGAGTCAATAAAAAACTCGACAGATTAGCTCGAGATATTACTTTTACACAGTCTATCAATCTAGTAACAACACTATCAAATGAACATGATAATTCAATACTCGATAGATTCTGTCTTTTAATTTTACAACGAATTCAACACAATATCGAATGTCTTACTCTTAACTCATTATCAGTAGATCGTGTTCTTCGTATTGGAAATTATTCCAAACTTCATAAACTAAGTCTTGTTAATCTTCCAATTGAAATGGCATGTCGTATTTTCAATGGTATGTTATCTATTTTCTTAATCTTTAAATAAGAGAAATAATAATTCAATTATTTTAGATGAATCATCATTGGTTTATACTTTCCGTCATCAAATTTCACATCTTATTGTTACAATAAACATAGATAATAAATCTCAAGATATATTAGAAATGTTTAAAAATGTGTTTACGATTATTTTTCGAATGTTTAGGAATTTAATTGATTTTAATTATAGCTGGTATAGTGATTTATTGTATTCACCAAATGCATTTATTGATTCATCATCTAGACCATACTATTCATCAAATATTAGTTATTTAAATGTTAGACTTAACAATTTTAATGATTGTATTTGTTTACTTAATGCAGATCTTAGTCAATTACAAACATTGGTTGTAGAAATTGATACCATTGATAAAACATTGATGACTATTAATACTACGGTAAGATTTTTGAAATGAGAAAGAACTATTTTTATCTGTTGGCAGTACTAATATACTTATATTTTCAGTGAAGTCTTTGAAAAAAGATATAAGGAAAGTTGTAAATATAGATAATTACTTAGGGATTAGATTGGCTCTTACATAAATAATTCTATGATTACTCTGTTTTTAGAAAATTGTGTCTAATTTAAAATGTTTCTCATTGATTTCATTTCATGAAACAATCGAATATGATGCTAAAATTGTTCCATTGCTTCAACATATGTCAAAATTAGAAAAACTTATATTATCTTTAATTGTTGATCAGCGAAACTCATTTATTGATGGCAATCATTTAGTTAATGGTATTCTTAGTAAAATGCCAGATCTTCATACATTTATCTTCAATATTATTACCAAAAGAGTCATAATAGAAGAAGAATTTTTACCAACTTGTGATAATATTCTACGTCCACTCATCGAAAAAGAATATAATGCCGGATGTTATACTGATTATTGTACATTCAGCAAGGGTCAATGTCATATTTACTCGCTTCCATTTACTTTCGAATGCATGCATATATTTACTAGTAAATTTCCTGATGGTTTATTCGTGAATGTTCGTCACTTCGTTGCAGGTTCTGATTGGCATCCGTTTGAACATGAATTTTTTGCTCAAATCTCAAAAGCTTTGCCATTATTAAATAAGTTAACAGTACGTAATACAAATGGGCAAGAAAAGAAGTTGCCATATCTACAAGCTAAATATGAGCAAACATCATCAGTTATTGAATTTCCTCATCTTACGATACTTAATGTGGGTGGAGCTTCTCTGGATTATGTCGAACAATTTCTTTTCGACTTCTACACACGTTTAACTAGTCTTCACACATTACATGTCGAATATGAACTATTATTATTTGCAACACAGTATTTTACAGAAGATGCTGCTCGTGCAAATTGTTTAAAAGTGAAACATATTTTCTTTGATCGAAGACCAGAAATGTTTCCAGAAAACTTTCGGAATTATTTTCCTTTGTTATAAATAAAATTTCTTCCTTCAATTGTAATGATTTTTTGTATGAATGAAAAAAGAAAAGAATAATGATAATTATTGAAATAAAAATACTTCTCAAATCAGTATACAATATTAGTATCAATCATCACAATGGTTTTTAGTTGTTTAATTAGAGTAACTTTGAACTACTCGATGTGGTAGGAAATCTGAATAGATACAGACATAAGAACTAAGCATTTTATATAACAATTGACTTTAAATTATTTGTTTTGATCATCTTATAAGAAAAGACTAGTAAGTTGAGTTATGAATAATGTTTTAAATTTACCAGTTATTTTTAATTCATTATGTGAACTATATTTTGAACTATCTTGAGGGTGTGGGTGTGGGTGAAGAAGAAAGAAACACACCCACACCCAATAAATCAAGAGACGTATTAACTGTTGTACATATGCACTCCCAGCAACGTATACATAATTATTAAACAAAGGTGCTTGTACTATATTCCTCAACTGTGTTGAACATATTTTCATCTTTTACTAGGTGATGTCAAACACATGCAATGTTTCTTTCTTTCCTCTACACTTCTTAATATTACATACCTATACTGCATTTCGTTGCTCTTGTTTTTTATGGTTATATGTATATCTCATAATATCTGACGTGATATC